TGGGCGAATACTTGAGTCATCTATGGGCGAATAGGTTCCGAGGGTTCGAAATTCGTTTTGAGGGCTTGAGTGTTGGGCTGAGAAATTTCTGTTGATTAAACCAGCGAACTGACATTTCTCAGAACAATGTTAGCTAGCTTAGTAGCTAGGTCTGTATGATCTTAAGACTAATTTTCTTTTAAAAAAACATGAGCTTCTTTGGTAGTGTACGACGATTGAATACGTAAACTAATGTCAATGACTTGACACTTGTGCTGCAAGTTGAGCACTGCGACCAAAGTCTAGATCTCGAGTCAGTATTTGGTATAATTTACGTTCCGACGTTGAGGATTCTAATCTATGGTATCAAGAAGATGAGTTCAAACCTGAGCATAATACAAGCAAAGAAGCCCCAAGAGTAGGTGATTGGAAACTTGACTTTCAATTAAACCCCCCTTACAATCATGAATTTGTTTGGGCAGAGCTTGGCACAATTCGATGGTGATAAAAAAAAGTTACTAGCGGAGAACCTTGAAGATGAACTGAATTATACGCATCGCTTTCGTCTATGGGGTTTGACTGAACTCAAAAGATTTGGCCATATTACTGTATTTGTATTGTAATTCTTTGACATAATCTTTTCTATCTTGGAAGGTAGAGCCCTTTCTTGAGACTAACTCCTTTTAGTCCCATGGAGTAAAGTAGACATCATAAGGAGGAATGAATAGAATAAGAGAGTATGGAAAGGCAGAAGCGAATTGAGACTTCAATGAGATGAGAGGGGATAACTTTCCAGAGTGAGGAGCACAATGAATCAACGAGACGAGAAATTGACCACTCCGCAGGCTGTAACTGATCCTGAATACGTAGGTACTGTAGGATCATGAAGTTATCCCAAACTAGTCTTACGCACAATATACGCAGGCAATGTGCCCGGATCTGCATGAGAATTATCCTACCAGATTTGCTACGCCCAATGTATCGTACTCCAGTAGATGTTGGATATGTATAAACTTCATTATCTGCACTGTCTCTCACAGGTCTCTATGAAACTCATGCCTATTTTCCAGCTTGTAGTATGTGTTAATAGAATGGTTTTCACTCTTGTGCATCAAAAGACAGTTGATGTCGAGGTGTTGCAACTTTCATTGTTTGACATCCTCATCACCCCAGTCCGACAAGAGCCCAATATGAGATTGGTTAGCCGTGCTTGAAATACAGTTTGAAAGAGAGTCCTTTTGGCATATGAATTCCATCCGAAACGTTGAGTTCATCTGACATTCACTGTAATTGGTAGGCGCAACTTTGGCATCGGAGCTTTTTGAAGAAGCTTTTTGAAAGTTGAAAGCCGTTGTATCTGAACTCAGAGTCTCGAAGCCTGTTTGATCGCGTACGTTCGCACTATCGTTGGATTCAATGTCCTATCCCAAAACGTCAAAACATCACATTACTCGAAGCGAGTAGTTCGCAGATCCGGTCTCGAGCGGGACTATGGATATCGAGTCAGCATGGATTGGGCTATATCATTCCTTCGTTTGCTATAGCATGAAATTTCTTGCCACATCACTTCAATGCAATTCTCCAATCAAGAGGAAACTTTTCGTCACTACTTCGTGTTCGTCATGGTTTCAAGTTGCACAGCCTTTCTAAATTATGCATGCAATGAAGTGTCACCAACATAACTTTTGAGCATAAATTTTGTACGAACGTGAAATTAAAAACTTGAAGCCCCAAAGATACCTTGCCGTCGAGGCAATGTGTGTTTGCCGGTAGTATCTGGTATCTCAAGTTCACGGCAGAGACCATCCCGATTAGAAAAAAGAACAGTCAAAAATAGCCCATCCAAATTTCCGCTGTCCTCGGCGCACGGTCTTGTATTGGATAAAGTTGTCTCCACTGTCCATGTTTTTTGTGTCTTTGATGTCGTCCGATGCTACTTCGGATGGGGACAACAAGCATATTTCTGGTAAGTCTGGGCATCTAACCTTATTTGCGTTAATATTCCGGGGCTATTGAGACCCGCTACTGTTTACCTTGATTCTTATAGAGATCCGAAGATGCTTTGAGGAGCCACTACAGCATATCGAGTGGAATATGTAGGTCTACAAACAAAACGTGGAGAGCATTTATTGTTGTTCATATCTCGGTAAGAGAAATGAACCAATGAAGGGGTAGAGAGTCAGAAAATGTGTTGCTCAGACCTCCATACCATTGCTTTCGGCACACCTCGGATTGGAAACAAATTTACATGGCGTCTCCCACAAACAGCCATTCATTCCATATCATATACTGGTGACATGATTCTACCGAAGACGATGCATAGAATGACTTTTACTAAACAATTTTCCGTTCTGATGGCGCCTCTAAGCTTGTTTCATGCGAAAGTGTTTTCCCCACAACCTATCGGTATTTTTTTCTTTGCCAAGCCATCATCGTTTCATGTGGTGGTATCTGTCTACCAGCCTGCCAGGAGGTATTGAACTCGTGAAAAGATTGTGAAAGGGGTTGGATGTCACAAGTTGATGTGGTCTTGCTGTGACAAATCTCTGGATTCGGATTTTTCTGTCTAGATATGGATATATGTGATGTGAATTGTAGGGGATGTATACCCTTTCGGTGTGTGTGATGAATAAGAGTGGGAGTCTCGCCAGGAGTTCCTAAAAGTTTCCCTGTCGAGAATCTTTCACTCGACGGAAAAGAATGTTACTCCGCAGAAATCGAAAGATCCGGGTATTTGCTCCTGAATCGTTCTTGCACCACGGGGTAGCTTGGTTTACTTTACCGGAATTGCATTTTCCTTTTTCAACCTGACTCTGGAATAATCCCAGACTTCTCATCGGTGCCATAAAAGCAATTTCTCATTCGGTAATGAAGGCCGTCAATGATCTGCCTCGAAACAACAAAGTTTCGATATGTATGAGCTTTGTAATTTGTATTTTCTCTTTTCGGGAGATATTCATTTGGAGTTATAACTAGATTTGAAGGACCAGTTTTTAAGAACAAGCTCAGAAAGATAGTTATGACCCCAGGGATCCTAGTGTTTTCCAGTAACCAATAAAGTCAATGTGCCCTGTACGGAGCACGAAGCGGTAAATACAGGGCCATGAAAATATCCGACCTCTAGAACCCACCAAGCCCACCAAGCCCACTTACTACATTCTCTTTCAACGTCTGTCTGTGATATCACATAGGGTCTAATTGCTAAGACTTTCTTTCTTTCTTTCTTTCGATCAAAAAGAAATAATCTTGACTGATTTCAGACTGAGTCTACGGAGTTGTATGATCTCGCCCCCTGTTCCGTATTGTAACCTCATAATACATCCATTATATTAATAGCTTTCGAGTTGATTGATGGATGAGAAGGATAAGATCAATGTTGCATTGTCTCAGTAGATATCTAAGAACAGATACAAATCATGAGAATGTTACGAATGGTTATGTCATTCAGTACAACTTGAGCCGCTTTGCATAGTATAAGCAAATCTTAATGGGTTGTGATGGCATCTGAACGAAATGATGGGAATCCTTTCTCGGATCCTGATCGATTACCTCATCTCATATCAATGATACGGGAATTTGTATTTAGGTCGTTTCAAGATGTTTATCTAATGTTTGTGTCTTGAGCTTTTGACGCCATCGGATTGGTCGAGATGTCAAAATGATCTCCATGGCTCCATCAGAGGGGCTGTGCAAAAACTGATGAAACACTGATCACATCCAATCGACTCCACGAACCCCGTTTTATTGACTTTACCTTTTCCAAAAGACTAAAAGCTCATCGACCCCTAAAATGTTCTAAATGGCGCTCTCAACCTTGATTTGATCGGATCATGATTGTGATTCATCCAATGATCATGTCATCTGAGATCAGGAACCGCTGTAAGCATCTATTTGTGGGTTTAATCTGATTGATCTAAGCCAAATCGAATACCACCTCATGGCTGAATCTCCAACCAAATTAAATGGACAACTGCTTCCAGATACCCTGCATAAACGTAAAGTTCCGAATTGGGTACTGAAGATACGTTGCATAACTTCTTCAATGTTCACCATCCAATCATTCCTTTGCCGCTCGGCTGTGTGTTGGCATGTATTCAGGCGATTTTGCTGAGCGTCACAACTCTGCAACACTCTGAATGTACATGTTGCTGTAGAACATCATGACTATGGAATATATACGCTCGAGCTTCAGGCATACAATATTGACAATTTCAAAGAAAGTCGAACTACCTGACCTCCAAATCGACCCAAAAGTAAGTAAGGTGGGATAATTTATGGATGTATACTAAGAATGTGTATTTCTTTTGTCCGAACTTTACATCTGATTGAATGTAAGCAATAAGCATTGACCTTGCGAATTCTGGGCATCATCACGATGCACGACTAAATACGAGGGAACAATAAACCCGTCTTTGAATGTTGCCCCTGACTAGGACAGTGTACCTGCAGTAGTTCGCATGGTCAAGTTTCACCTGTTCTTTTCCGCATCTGTACCCCTCGATTAAACAAGCATGGCCTTTTTACAGAGACCACCTTGGCACATCTTACCCAACTACAATTTTTTAAGCTAGGGAAGTTCAGACTCCACATCAAAAGTAAAGGACGAAATGGCGCGCGCATGCATGGGTCTGAAAGGATATGGCCTTGTCTAGTATTAGCTTCTTCAAAGATTCTCCTCGTCTATAGAATCCTTGATGATTGTGGGACAAGGTTCTCATCTAGCTTCTAAGTGATTCAACACGGAAGACCCCAAGAAAGGGATCGAGGCTATGTGGAAAAGGTCATGGCCCAACCGTTTCTCAAGATATAACAGATCCTGAGAATCCTCATGTTAGGTTTATACTCCATTCATTACGATTCTTCATTTACTCATTCTCTTATAATTATATCGCCCTTTGAGAGTTAAAGTCATTCACTTCTTTACTCTCTATCTCTTTTCTTCAGCATCAAAAAATCATTCGTTGTTTTATTTATTTATTTCGTTTCACACCAACTCTCGTTGATCAATTTATTACATAATAATGAAGACTCAAACCCTCGCCCTTGCGGCTTTGGCCACCGGCTTCCAGCTTGCTGCTGCCACCGGATGGGCAGACAAGTCTAGCTTTTCTTGTCCTTCAAACACCAACAATGAGTGCTCTTCAACTCAAAAGAGCGGATGGGATTTCAGCGACCTCACGTCTGGATCTTTCAGCAACTATGACGATTTTTCCTTCTCTGGATTCACATGCTCAAACTCTTTCGGCAAGCGTGATAACCCAAAGTTCCCAAAGAGAACTTCCGGAAAATGTATCTCTGGTACAGCTTCTTCAGACCATGGCTCATGCCCTCAATTTTCCTGCGGTAGCTCCTCCAAATCTGGCTCTTCTACATCTGGATCTTCCAGTGATATCTCCGCCTTCTCCATCTCCACCGTTCACGTAACTACTGAGTTCGATTGTGATTTGGAATTCCACTATGGTATGGGTGATGGATCTACTTGCAAGCAAACTTCTAGTTGCTCAAGCGGAGGTTCCATCATCTCCAACTCTCAATGTGGTGGTGCTAAGAACGTCACCGTTGTTTACTCTTCCGCAAGTCAAACACATACTGCCGCTACTGGTAAGGCTTCTTGCAGTGTTGGTATTAGCTCCGTTGGATTCGACTGCAGCTCGGCATCTACCACTCAACACCCATCTACCACTGCTAGTGCCAAGACCTCTGTCAAGACTACATCTGTCAAGACAACCTCCAGCGAATCTTCCAAGCACACTTCTGTTGAATCTTCCAAGACTACTTTAGTTTCATCCAACAAGGTTACCTCAGTCAAGAGCACTCCTTCCGCCACCGGTACTTCATACACTCTTGTCGGAACTGGTTCTACCAAATCTTCGATCATTGGAACTTCAGTTAAGCCAAGCTCAAGTGCCGAGACTATTGTCAAGACTTCAGTTAAGCCAAGCTCAAGTTCCGAGACTATTGTCAAGACTTCAGATAAGCCAAGCTCAAGTGCTGCCACAAGTATCATTGGAACTTCTGTTCACACTTCCCCAGCCGGTACCGCTCCAGGAGCCTCTGCCTCTTCTATCATTGGTACAGCCGTCACTGGATCTGGATCTTCATCTGTTGTCCAATTGACCACTTCTACCATCTACGCTACCTCTGTCTCTACCATCATTTCTTGCGCCGAAACTGTCACCGACTGCCCAGCCAGATCAACTGCTTTGACCACCGTCGTGTAAGTTCAACATATTTATCATATTCTGACTTTTATCTAATAAATTATTTAGTATTGCCGTTTCTACCACCATCTGCCCAGTCACCGCCACTGAGGTTCCAGGTTCATCCGCTGCTTCTTCCATCATCGGTACATCCGTTGTTTCTTCCCCAGCTGCATCTTCCCCAGCTGCATCTTCTCCAGCTGTCTCTTCCCCAGATGCTTCTTCCCCAGCTTCATCTGCTGCTTCTTCCATCATCGGTACATCCGTTGTTTCTTCCCCAGCTGCATCTTCTCCAGCTGCATCTTCCCCAGCTGCATCTTCTCCAGCTGTCTCTTCCCCAGGTGCTTCTTCCCCAGCTTCATCTGGTGCTTCTTCCATCATCGGTACATCCGTTGTTTCTTCCCCAGCTGCTTCTTCCCCAGCTGCCTCCACTGCCCCATGTGTCTCTTCCGGCGCCCTTCTCTCTGGTCAAACTGCTTGCCCAGTTTCTTCAGGATCCGCTCCATCTTCCTCCAAGGCTTCTTCCATTATCGGTACATCTGTTGGAACTGCCCCAGTTTCATCCCACGCAACCACTGGCGCGACCAGCCTTGCTACAACTGCTTACACCACCGTTATTGTTCAAGAATCGACTACCATTTGCCCAGTTACCTTGACCCACACCACTGGAGGAGTTACCAGCTTTGAGACCACTTCGACCACCTCTACTGTTCGCTCTTCATCCACAGTTGTTACTTCCAGTGTTATTACTATCACTGCCCCAGCCAGTGCCGCTTCTTCAACTGTTCAAGGTGTCACATCTGTGCCAGCTCCAAGTGCTACTAGCGTTCAAACCACTGCTTACACCACTGTCATTGTTCAAGAATCGACCACCATTTGCCCAGTTACCTTGACCCACACCACTGGAGGAGTTACCAGCTTCGAGACCACCTCAACTACCTCTACTGTCCGAGCTTCCTCTACTGTTGTCACTTCCAGTGTTATTACTATCACTGCTCCAGCCAGCTCAGTTGAAGGTGTTACTACTACCGCTTCTGCCACTACCCCAACTGAAACCGCTGCATGCCCAGATGTCTTGCCTCAATGCTTGAACACCTGGATGTACTTGGTCGGTTGTGAGTCCAACACTGATTCAGACTGTTACTGCCCAGATACTGCATTCATCAACAGCGTCTTTGGATGTGTTTCTGCATATGGTGTTTCCTCATCTGACATCGATGCTGCTCAAAAGTACCTCCAAGGTATCTGTGCTGCTCACGTCTCTACCAACCCAGCTATCGTTACTGCTGCTTCTACCGTCTATGTTCCAGCTGCTTCCAGTGCCGTTGCTACTTCATCTGTTCAAGGTGTCGCTTCTACCCCAGTTACCACTGTTACTCTTAGCACCACTTTGGTTGTTCCATGCACTGAATCTACTGGTTCCCTCTCTGGATCAGTCATTCCATCCTCATCCACCACAACCACTATTTCCACCGCTATCACTGTTCCACAAGTCGCTTTCTCCACTGCTCCAGCAGTTGGATCGGCAACTGCTAGCGTTGCTCTTATCCCAGGTACCGTTGCTGCATCCCAAGCCGCTGGATATACCACCTCTGCTCCATCAAGCACCACCAAGGTTGTTTCCGGTGTCGCAGGAGCTACCAACGTTCCACCTGCCGCTACTACTTCCGCCTCCGTTCCATTCACCGGCAGCGCCATCAAGAGCACTAGCAGCTTTGGTGGACTCATCGCCGCTGCTCTCGTCGCAATCTTTGCTTTGTAAGCAATTGATTCGATCTCATTCATATTTCATTTTTGTTTAAGCAAGATCATAAAATCATGCACAGCATCAAGTCCGGGAGGCGTTCAATTCGATACCAATTTCATTAGTTCACTCACACCTGATTTTCTGTTTGGAGGAAAAACATAATCAGCTTTGTTCCATCTTTATGGACGTTACGCCAGTCTGGCATGGTACACGGTACACACGAGGGTTGGGAGGGTATGCTGGATCGTAATATGATCATGAGTAATGGTTGGGGAATTGAAAAGAAAAAGTGTTTGTCAACACTGTAATTATAGATTTTTCCTTTGAGAGAAAATATAAAGAGTTACCTTTTAATTGCTTGTGTGTTTGGTGTGATGAAAATGTCTGTCTATGTGTGATGTGATTTGTTATAGGGTATTGGTCAATGAACTGGATTTCCGTATAAACTATCGTATAGATAAACAGGAAGAAACTGAGGGAGGATATTCACAATTGAATGATTTGAGAAATTGAAAAGACTTGAGAGATCTAAGAGATTTCAAAAGACAAAATTGTTTGACAGAATGAAGTCAACTTGCCATGAGATGATAATTCCCAGCCTGCGCTCCAATACTTGATTTGGCAATTCGGTAGTTGAGGGTAAGATGTTCTCTAAATGTTCTCTAGCTCACCATGAATTCATGTTTTGTAGATTATGTAGCCATAGTATCAAATGATTACTGGCGAAGTGAAAGGATCTTAGAAACATCCAGCCTTGCTAATGTCTCGAAGTAGCTCGCCAGGAGCTTGTCAACAGTATTCGATATAAATTTGAAAGGTCGAATATTAGACTTTTATTCATAGATGTTCAAATGACTTGAAGATTGAGGAGCCCCTTCGCTTCGAATGGTATTGACCTCTGAAGGGGTCATCCATTTAGAATTAGATTTTAACTCACCGGACAGACATTATGGTATGCATGTTCAGCCTCACTCTAATAAATATCCATGCTGAGGTGTATTGTATCATGATTATTCGCAAATCTCACTGTTTGCCACCAGAACGCCCGAAATGTACATCCTATCTGAATATATCTAACAGCTAAACTTCACATCCATCTTGTCTCGGCACTCCCTTTAATGATGCCATCGAGCTCACTCGTAGTCCAACCACCATAAAAGTCTCCAGGTTGCGGTATAACTTTCTCTCCATCCACATAACAATCCCATGGTCCAGCATAGAAACTCAAATAACCTTTCAAATCAGCATACTGAGGTGTAGGAGATTCGTATGACCATATTCTATTGGCTATTTCATGCTTTCGTGGCTCAGATGATTTTAGTTGGTCTTCAAAAGGACAAGAAGAGGCAGGAGAAGGAGAGAAAGGTGCAGGTAATGAGATCGAGTAGTATGTGGCCCATCCTTTGTATTCACAAAAGGTGGATTTGTTGGTGGGGGTTAGAGGAAACTTTGGGGATAGGGATGTGGCGGGGAGGTAGTATGCTGTTCTTGTGTTAGTTTATGGATTGAGAGAAGAGAGAGAGGCTAGAGCTGTCATGAACGGAAAAGGGGTATTAACTGGGCGAATGATATGTTTCCAAAACCCAATATGCATCACTTGTTTCAGCAATGGTTTGACCTCGATATCTTATAACGAGATGACGAGATGTTTTCTCAAGGAGAGGTGGACGTGGAAAGTTTTGAACGTTGAGTCTTGGTTTTGGAATCATGTTGATAGGAAATCCTTTGGTGGACAAATATATAGATCAATACAATTGAATTATGTGATGTTCTAGAAAGATATAAGATGTCAACACTTTTCTATGAATGGAGGGGTTTAGGTTTATGCAAATCACTGGTGTATTTGAATGACTAAGCAATCTAAGGTTAAGCCTAGCGCCCCCGCAATCGTCACACATGTGCAAGATCCAAGTTCGCAAGGCTAGGTAGAATTCCGTCCATCTACAGAATATCCATCCAAATTCTGTCTATTGCCATCGCGATACCCTTACAAACACATTCTGCGGCTTTTCAAGATCATATCTACCATTCGGAATCATCATGTCAGGACTCGAGAAAGCCCTCTTCAATTTGAAGGTACGTCATTCTGCTTATCTTTCACCCAATGTTGAACATCGATCGCACTTCAACGTCGACTGTTCTGCGCATAAATATAGCCTCAAGCTAACTCATTATTCAGTTTACCGCAAAACAAATCAACCGACAAGCCAATAAAGCTGGACAAGCGGAAAAGGCCGAGAAGGATAAGCTCAAGAAGGTACGTTGCGCCTTTCCGTCTCACACTCATCCATACAAATACAGCTCGTTAACATTACTCTACAGGCAATCCAACAAGGCCACCCCGATATCGCAAAAATCAATGCCGAAAATGCCATCCGCAAACAAAATGAGAAATTAAATCTACTAAGATTAGCCAGTAGAATTGATGCCGTGGCCAGTAGAGTACAGACAGCTGTTACCATGAGACAAGTCACCGGTAGCATGACGAATGTAGTAAGAGGGATGGATCAAGCCATGAAAGCTATGGATTTGGAAAAGGTCGGTTTCCCTTCTATCGATTATCAGATCTCTATATTCAACCTCACTCTTTACTCTAACTGACAAAATATAAAATCTATAGATTTCGGCAGTAATGGATCGATTCGAGACACAGTTCGAAGATTTAGATGTAGCAACCGGCTATTACGAAAACGCAACTACATCGGCAACAGCAGTAGCAACTCCTCAAGAAGATGTTGATAGATTGATGAACCAAGTTGCGGATGAGGCTGGAATTGAGTTGAACCAAGAGATGAAGAGTCCGGAAGCAGCTACCCCAGTCAAATCCAATCCAACTGAAGTAGAGGAGGATGGATTGGGCGAAAGATTAAGGGCCTTGAGATCGTAGAATTCTAGGCTTGAAGGGGGGAAAGATATTTGGGTATAGGCGTTGTGGACAAGAACAGAATAAAGATTGGCGAATTGGGTGTCCTTTTATTACTCGGGATGTATTTATCTGTGGATTTTTTGAGCGTATTCACATTAGAATGCTTACAAGAAACTTGAGGATGTGGATTTATGCCTGACTTTGGTAGGAAATCTTCAGCGATGTATATTTGCCTAGTCTATAATCCAAGCGGTCTACTTATATCAAGGTTGTCAAATCACAAAAGAATCGTCGTTTAAGGAAGATCAAAGATGGTCGGCGATTCCAGCTCCACTAAAAGCTTCAAGCGAAGCTCCTCGACGCTTCTCTTTTCATTACAACTGTTAGATATCATTTATATGTCATTTTTACCTATTCGCTCTCATTTCTCAAACTCCATATTCATTTCATAACTACTCTGGTCACACCCTCGAATCTTCTTACACTCGACATAGATTGGTATGTTGATCTCATAGATATTAAAATTTTACTTCTTGAATCCTATCATGAATCTTAAAGCGTGTTCTCCCCGGTTTCTCTAATTTTGAGTTTCTTGTCCCTGGAAATATCAGAATAATAGGAATCCCTCGTCAAAGAATGTTGATGAATATCCAAATTTTCTTAAAGGCCGTATGAAGATGTTGCCGGCATAGAGTCGAAGCAAGTATGTACTGATCTCTAGATAGAGGACCAGAATACAGATGGTTTGTGGATAATTTGACTCTGAGCATACCATTGGACTTTGAGCTAATGGCTGCCCATCCTTTTAACATTGTGAATTATTGTCAGCTGATTGCTTACAGAATTTTCCCGCGTAAGTTTCGGATCTTGACGATACCGCTTACTGTAAACTCCTTCCAGCGGTTTCAGTACCAATCGTTCCACTTCTCTTGTCTTTAGTCATCTTTCTTTCATATGTCTAATATCGCATACTATCCCGAACAGATCGCGCGAGTTATACTATGCAAATATTATGAGCAACGACCAAGGTTTAGATAGTGAATGTACACATTCGCTGGTAAGCTACCTTGCCATCTATGCGGGATTCAATACTGATAGTTAAACGGTTCAGACTTTAAATCTACATAGAGTATAGTGCAAAGCATGCCTGCTTACTTGCAGCATTCAATCTGCGTTTGACAACCTCAAAATCCGGGATATGTATTGACCTAGAACGCTCATATCGCACAGTCACCAACACACATGCACAACCATTCAGCAAATTCTGTAACGAAGCGAACTCCCTTTCACATTTCATTCTGTGTGAGATGATGTAAAACTATTCCTGGTATTTGATCTGCAACGTCTAATGTTACGAATTGTTGAAAAGGTATTGCAGCTACATGGGTAAATGTTGGATCTCATATCACTGCATGCGTACTATGGTTGGTGGAATTCACCAGATGATTATTAGTCTCTGATGCCATAGACCCACATACAGACGAGATATCAAGATTTTGGTATTGGTCTCCGCAATTGCACGACTACATGTTAAGATGGAAAATCCCCTCCATTCATGCAGATCCGGTGTCAAGTGGGACAAAGTACGAATTGATGTGATGCACCAGGTCCCCAGGAACAAGAAACGAAGATAGTGTGGGAGCAATTATTGGAGTAGCTTTCAAACAGCACATGGGATTATAGAAATCGATTTTTATGATGGGGAACCCAATTTCGCTTGTCGAAACTATGAAAGAATCTCTGTCAAGTTCAAAGTGTAGTTCCGTATAAGCTGACCAACTATCTCGCACGTCTGTCCAAATTGCAATGTCCAATCCTCATGCTCAGACCCAACAGTGGGAAGAATGGCTGCTGTGCTTCTCAAATCCTATCGCCTCTGCAGCTTTGCCTTCATACTTTAAGGAACTGGTGTTGGGGACTTGACTAGCTTTGGCAATAATCGGTTCGCCGGAAGGGATGGAAGTTTTAGATCTAGGAACTATTGGAGATTTCATGCATGAACAGAAGATTGGTCCTTTTCAATCATGCTCCACGATTCGACATTAAAATTTTGTACCGCGCATATATCAATTTGTAGATTCAGGTGCATTGCCTGACCATGTTACGACATGCTTCATATGAGGATTTTTGTAAACACGAGGCGGAGCCTTGGGCATATAGTCCACGGATATTGCGATATCATCTTGGTGAGTCTATAGCATGGTAGTTTAGCTACGGTGTATATGCTGATAGATGTGAGAGCTCATTGTGTTGATAACTTGCGTCAGAAGGTGATTCGTTATCCCATGGTTCGTCAATACCAAGACCGAGAAATTGACTAGATATAGTTGATATGTGATGTAGGCGCTGGTATTAGGGTACGTGTCTGGGCCTAAAGATATCCGGCATACCTTTCCAGACTCCAGTGTGTATGCCTCCACTCTAATAAAGCCGAACGAGGATTATCAGCTAACATACTTAGTTCTTCACAGCTAACCTAAATGTCGTGATTTCACCGCAGTGAAACAGTAAGTCTTGACCACAAGTTATTCACCACAAAAACCTATGACACCGAATGAATGCCAGGATTCAAGAATTTGTAAAATCCGTCATATATCGTTGATATGAAAACAACCACAAGCTTGAATGCGGTAGGGAGAGTCGAGATGAGAAGGGAAGATTTCCTCATGGTGTATGATCAATGAATCGTACAATGGACTTGAATTGTGAATACGTCCACTAAATGATATATAAGCTTTAATAAGAACTATCAGCTTTCCAAGGCTGTTCTAGATCAGATTATGATTCAGAAGTCCACATTGCTTGTGATTAGATGGATAGATGAATAGTGAATTTGCTAACTCGAGTCCACATATAACCTCCCACCGTAGATCTTTCAATCGAGTAACGTCAAATACAGAAATATACCACTACATTTACAACACTATGAGAGGAGATGATTTAGACGATCATTCGATACCAAACAATCGAGGGGTCCCCAATGTTCCTAGAATGCTTGGGTAGCAAAGATATGGATCATCATCAAATGGAAAGTGGGGCAACCCCCTCTTCTCCACTAACAATGAATAGTTTCTATGTATATTCAAAAGCCCGTCCCAGCTACAACAAATATGGTGAGATGGCCGAGTTGGTCTAAGGCGCCAGGTTAAGGTGATTAACTCTTAACAAACGGTTGTTTACAATCTCCTGGTCTAGTAATAGGCGTGGGTTCGAATCCCACTCTCATCAAATTTTAGTTTTGTGCCTCTTTTTGTTGGAAGTAGAAACTTTTTTCGCCTAGCGCGGGGTAATTCTAGTTTTTACCTACGAACAAAAATGAGCACAAAAACAACTTGACTAATATTTTTGCTCCAAAATCCAATGCTGGGAACTAATGGAAATTCTAGTTCTATTCTGACATGAATCTTCATACATATCGACAAAATGTTGCCCTTTAGCGCTTTACTCATGTCCCCCGAAAGTCAACAACCAAACGATGATAAAAATGGTGAAAAGGGCAAAAAGATAGATTTCAGGCAACGGATTTAAACCGATGGAACTCAGGGTTACTCCCTACGTAGGGCTCGAACCTACAGCCTCAAGATGATCTTTGAGATATAGATATATCGGATAGAAGTCTTGCGCGCTACCATTGCGCCAGCAGGGAAATCTTATGATGTTGTATGGAGGATCGTGGTTAAGTCAGTATATATTACAAGAAACTAATAAAGGTGGAGAAAAGAAGAAGAACAATCCAAAGACAGAGTAAAACTCTGGGTTCTGGGTTATGCTGTTTGAGTTGTTGGAAAATTCTGATGAAAAATTAGACTACCGAGAAAATGAAGGGGTTGAGCCGAGACGACC